ACGATGAAACAGAGCCATATCAATGAGTGAGAGAGAGAAGGATTGTGGGAGGAAAGGCATTCTGGATTGGAAAACACGTGACAGCGGAGTCTATTTTGTGATGTTCCAGGTTTTTTTTTTATTTATTATTTTTTTTATTAAACATAGAATACAAGAACTCATAGAGGTAACAGCATAGAATAAAATCAAATACAATAACAATCGGCATCAAACCTTAAGGGGATCCACAATACATGTAAGGCAAAAACAAAACAAAAAAACATTTAAAACACAAGAAACTTGGACATGTCCGATGATATTTTCGGGGCACGACAATTTTTAAGTAATCTCAGTGAGGAGTAGAATAGTTTAAATTCGTTCATGAAATGAACAAAGCAGAGGCGAGAGTCTGTCCACTTACAACAATGTATATGGTATTTGGCAAGTAGGAAAACAATATTCACAATGTCTGATATTGAATTATCTAAATCATCAACATAAAACAGGATATGGTTGATGTTAAATACAGGGATGTTTGACATTTTTAGATTCAGCCAGTCTCTAACATCACTCCAGAACTGGCATGAAATGGAGCAGGTAAAAAATAAGTGTTCTAGAGATTCATCAGTAAAATCACAAAAAGCACAACCCGCCTTGTCAAATTTAAATCGTTTATGAAGAAAATTGGAAACTGGATAGATCTTATGACAAATGTTGAAATGCGTTTCTTTGACTTTAGGCGGAATTGGCCATTTAACATATTTAGAGAAGGCTTTACCCAGCATATCAGAATGGTTTACAGGCACATTGTTTTTATTATAATCATGGAACAATTTAGATTTAAAAGCATCCGTAGCAACCCTATTATTGAAGTTTTTATCAACTAATTTATGATGACCAATTGATAAATTCGGCAATACTGGAGTGACATCAGAGTAAGTCAAAGTATTCTGGATTAGGTGGCTCAAGGCTACAGGAATAGCTTTACACATTTTTTGATACTCTCTATGAGTACAGTTTATATTAGAACGTACAACAAAGCTGGTGTGATCCAGTAGAACACCTTTACAATCCATCAAGTCCGTTACAAAGAGAATTCCTTTTGTCAAACCATTCAGCTTTAAATAATGATTTCCTGTTTATAAGTATTGTTCTATTGTTCCACAGAGTCGAACTGTGCGGAGTAAAGTTATGTGTGAATATCATTTTCCAAAAGTGTAGTATTTGACTATGAAATTTAGACAGTGCAAGTGGAATCTTATTAATATCGAAATCACATCTCAGTAAAAAATCCATACCACCAAGCTTTCCAAAAATAGCCCTAGTTATGTGAATCCACACAGAGTTGGAACAAGCAAAGAAAGTTTTTAACCCATTAACAGAGTTGGAACAAGCAAAAAACGTTTTTAACCAATTAATTCTAAATGAGCCTATCAAGGCTTCAAAATCTAAGGCTTTTAATCCGCCATTTTTATACTCTTTAACTATCTGGGACCTTTTTAAATAATGCGTTTTATTTCTCCATAGAAATTGAAAAATGACTGAATTGGCCTTCCTAATATTGCTGTCAGAAATAAACAAAGAGTGACAAGGATATAATAACTTAGACACACCTTCAGCTTTAGATAGAATAACTCTTCCAAATACTGTGAGATCTCTGGTCAGCCAGTGACTCAGAGATTTTTTCATATCAACGACACGTTTCTCAATGTTAACCTCCTCTATCCTACGATCATCCTTAGATATTGTTAAACCCAAATATTTCACCTCAGTCTGGACATTTATTGAGGCAATAGAGCTCTCTGGACAAGAGTGGATAGGCAACAGTACACATTTCTTAATATTGAGAGACAAACCTGAGGCATCAGAAAAAGCATTCATTAATATTAGTGCAATATCAACCATACTTTTATCTTTTAAACAAATTGCAGTATCGTCTGCAAATTGGCTAATCTTAAATTCCTTTTCAAAAATCTTAATGCCTTCTAAATGTATTAAATCATTAACAATAGCCAAAGTGAGCATCTGGGTAGTTAGAATAAATAGTTTTGGAGTTATGGGACATCCTTGGCGAATTCCTCTAGACATCTTGAAGCTAGGAGTGATTTCAGATCCCAAAGCAACCGAACAAATGTATCTCCAAAACCCATACAATTTAATGTTTCTACAATAAAACAGTGCTCTAGCGAATCGAACGCTTTATAAAAATCAAGGAATAATATTAGACTCTCCTTTTCTATTAGATGACTGTAATCCAACATATCAAGAATCAGTCTTGAATGAACATGTATATTCCTTCCTTTTATAAAGGCAGGTTGACATTCACTAATAACCTTTGTCAAGCCACTTTTCAGGCGATTGGCATATACAAGAGCTAGTAATTTGTAATCCGTACACAAAAGGGTTATCGGTCTCCAATTTTCAATAGAAAGTGGATCTTTATCGGCCTTTGGGATCAACGTAATGAGACCACGCTTCATTGTGGGAGAGAGATTTTGTCTTAAGATACATTCACCAAGGGCTTCAAATAAAAGCTGACGGATGTCTTTCCAAAAGAAGACATAAAAATCGACAGTTAAGCCGTCTAAGCCAGGTGATTTACCCTTGGCCATTTGATTGATAGCTTTATCCAACTCTTCAATTATTAAATCATCCTCCATAATACTTTTAAAATCATCCTTAATTAAATCAATCCATCCTTGAATTGACTGAAAAAAGGATTTGCAACTAGCCTCAGAGTATCTTGAACAATATAAGTTACTATAAAAATCTCTAACTGCCTCGTTAATTAGATCTAATTCTTCTGTAACAGCACCATTAATACTTAATTTAGAAATTTTCTTTTTCGTTTGCCTTTGTTTCTCAAGATTAAAAAAGTATGAAGAATTTTTCTCACCCTCTTCGATCCAACGAGCCCTAGAGCGAATAAAAGCACCCCGAGTTTTAACTAAAAATAAATCATCAAGTTGATTTTTGAGATTTTCTAATTGGGCTTTTTCCTCACAAGACAACACAGCTTTAGAGCATAGAATGTTAATATTATTAACAATTTCCTTTTGTTTAACCCGCATTTGCTTAGAAGAATATTTTCCCATTTTAATTGCTGCTTCTTTAACTTTGAATTTAAACCACTCCCATTTATTTAATGGTGAAGCATCTAAAGATGTCACCTCAACAATAAGATTTTTAACTTCTTCACAGAAGTCGTTGTTAAGCAAAAGATTACTATTGAATTTCCAAATTATGTTTTGAGGTGGTTTGTTATTATTTATGGTAAGGATCAGAGTCACTGAGCAATGGTCTGTTAGGGGAGCTGTAGAGATTTCACATTTAGAGATATTATCAAACCAGTTAAATGGAATAAGCCAGTAGTCCAACCTGGAGCACTGCCCATTGTTAGATGCATTGAACCATGTGTATTGTCTAACACCTGAATTCTTTAACCTCCAGCAGTCAATCAAAATTGTATTTGCAACCAGGTTAGGGGAAATGATTAATGTGCCTTTAATCTGTTATTTTGCTTAGTTTATAATGGCAGATTATGTCAAACTTCACTGTTTCACGTTGCCATATGATGGCTAACAATTATTAGTTCAGAATACCAAAGTAAAAGTCACCCAGAAAACGCTAATAAATTACAAACTTGTGTATAGCAACACTCACCCTCTGTTATAGTGTCAACCCTTACCAAGAAAGGACACCAAAAGTTCCCAAACGGTAAACAGACCTCACATTGGATCCAAATAGAATTCCACTTCTTTCCTAGATAACCAAAAATATATCTTACAAATTAGTGAAACATTCTGTTTACAAATCTGCCTGGCTGAACCAAATATTTTAAAGGGGTCATATGATGTTGCTAAAAAAGAACATTATTTTGTGTATTTGGTGTAATGAAATGTGGAAATCTACCATTAGGAAAAAAAAAAAGGTTTTACATCATATATTATCTTGTATTTTCTATGGGTTTAAAAGTGAAATATGAAATATGTTTTATGATATTTATCCTTTTAAACAAGAATAAACGCAATTTTAACACATTCAAAATGAATTTTAATAATAAAACAAAAAATTATGCTTTCTACTGTGTATGCAAATATAAAAATGAAACTAATAGTTTGTCAAAGTAAATCCTGTGTAATAAATAAATAAATAATTTGTGTAGTTAATTTTCCTCATTTGCATTTAGCTGCCAGACTTTTATTATGAAATGTAAAAAAAATCTTCCCATAACCCGGATGTTTAACCACGATGGACACAGGCGTTTCGAAGTAATTTCTTGTGTTTTGCAGTTAAAATGTAGGTTTATAATTGGCTCGTGGTCAGATAAATATAGACATAATTAAAAAGAGCTGGGTTAAGGAATGCTTGGTCGTTATTTCACTCAGTTATACTGGATTTTTCATGGACCAACTTATCTGAAGATTCTTGTATGACGATTCTGATGGTTTATCCTCCCGCCACTGTAACCGAGCAACGGACGGTCAAACGAAAACATCTATTTTTAAACAAATATAACCGAAAGGGAGACTTTTACATGTTATTCTTTTTCTTCAGCTGCTCATAATGTCTTTAGCTGGAGCGCTGTGGTTTGCTGTCCAGGATGATTTATTCACAAACGGACTGTGTAACACATCAGCACCCAGCATCAGCAACATAGCTCAAGACAAACAATCCAGCGTCAGTGAGCCCATCTCTGCCTCCGAGACACACAGTGTCCTGGACGAATTGGATGATTGCATTATTTCTCAAACTTTACATTTCAATCGACAGTGTTTGCGGTTCATCGTCGATTTCATCCAGGCCCGTTTAAAGAAAGACGTGTTTGCGCCCGGCCACAGCCTGACCTCCGCAGAAGCCAACATTCTGGCCACGCTTGCCTGCTACGCACAGGGGTCTCTGTCCGGTAAAATCACCGACCGGCTGGGAATAGATCAGACAGGCGCGGGCGAGGCGGTGAAGACCATTACTAAACTCTTAGCAGACACGAGTCCCGATTTCATTACTTTCCCGAACAGCTACAACGACCGCATGGGTGCCGCTCAAGCCTTTAAGAACCTGAGCGGCATCCCGCATGTGGTGGGGGTGCTGGGGTATCTGCACGTGAAGGTGAGCCCTCCGCTTGGGGAGGAGCACATGTATATGAACACTCTGGGCTATCATTCAGTCATGATGCAGGTCATATTTGACGTGGACGGGAATCTCTTGAGTCTGGAGCAGTGCTGTCCCGGAGGAACTCCTGAACACACTGTTTGGGAGAACTCGGACATTGGCAGACAGTTCTGCATATTTCAACACGGTCACACGTGGGTTGTTGGTGAGTTGTGAAGCGTGATAAAACTTCTCGTACTTTTGAATGTGTCCTGTGTATTTTTCTGGGGGAAAAAGTGGTTACACTTTATTTTAAGGTTTCCTGTTTACAGTGTAATATAAATTTAAGTACTGAGTAATATTAATTAACTACATTTAGTTACGATATGGTTAGGATTAGGGTTTCGCTTAGGGTTACTTGCATGTAATTATGCATAATTAATTGTTATTATAATAGTAAGTACATATGTGTAACAAGGGCACCTTAAAATAAAGTGTTACCAAAAATGTGCATTCAGTGTAATAAATAAAAAAATAAGTAAAAAAAAAAAAATGCATTCAGTGTAATAAGTTCATATGACCCCAATAAAAAAATTAAAAAACAAACCGATAGATAAATAAAAATACAAATCGTATCATATTTAGAACCAGAATCATTACATGTCATTCAAAGACTCTGTTTAAGGATCTGTGTTTGTTGTTACCCTGAATGACAATGGTAAATTATTTCACCCATATGTTGACATTTTATTTTCACAAAGTTATTTGAGACATTAAAGTAGTCCCTTTACTTGCATTTAATTGGCTTTTTATGTATATCAAATTATTTTAAATTTATTTTGTTGCGTACACCAAAATGGGACCCCCCTCTCTCTCTCTAAATATTTTTATTTAATAAATATTTATTCAAATTGATAATGTCCTCAAATAAATACTGTTATTTTGAATTTTATATCAAAGAATCCTAAAAAACAATAATAATAAAATAGGCAGCACAACTGTTTTGAACATTGATAATAAGAAATGTTTCTTGATCAGCATATTAGATTTCTTTCTTTCTTTCTTTCTTTCTTCCTTTCTAAAGCACTTTCACACTACTACCGGTTGATCCAAAGTGCTGTATAATACAGCTAAAATAAAACAAATAAGAAACCACAAAACACTAGGTCGTGGGGCGATATTAGCTAAAATTCATATCACAATATTTTACACTGTCCAGGCAATATCGATATTATATGAGAAAAAAAAATACAGGCAAAATATTTTAACCTTATATAACTAGAAAAAGTGAGGGATTGGACATAGACCTGAAAAGTCTTTTTTTTTTTATTGTGCCATTGTTTTTCTCAAAAAGTGCAAACGTGCAACATGAGGTAGGCCTGTATGAATTAAATTAAATATTGTGTGTTTGAGAAGGCCAGTGGTTCCCAAACTTTTTCTGCCGGGCCCCCCTTTTGTATTGAAAAATATTTTCACTGGCAGTATTTTCACAAACTTGTAACTTTCTTGCTTAGAGCAGAACCGTGCATTGTTCATTTATATTTCTACATGGCTCTCTGCGATACAACTCTGATTCTTCAATCGCGCCATCTAGTGGTCTGTTATTGATACAACCACAACTGCTACAACTGATAACGGAGCGTTCAAGCGGGTACTGCAAGTCATATTGAGGTAATTTAAATATGTCACATTAATATTTTGCGTTCAATTATTTACTTATCAGACAAGTGGCCGCATGATAAGCGGGAAAATTATGCAGTGTAGTCTTTATCACCCTGCAGAGGTTTCTTTTGCAAAATAATCTGCTGACTGTACACGATCCCTCAGTTTGGGAACCACTGGAGTAGGCGTTTTGTGCTCTATTAATTTGGTCTGTTACGATGCTCTGTGTGTTTGATTACTAACGCCTAGTGCGGCGTTGCACACAGAGGACAAAAACGTTAAGCCTCGACTCTTTAGAGTCATTTGTGTTAAAATATAAATGCAAAATTTGAATTCATGAATATATAACGGTATCCACGGTATAGCAAAATCCATATAATGGAATAACATAATAACGGTAGTCACGTTCATACCGATATAGCGCCCACCCCTACAAAACACAATATAACAATACAATTGACATGGCTAGATAAAAGCTATTGACAAAATATGATTTTTTAAGCAGGTATTTAAATACTGGCAATTTGTGGCAAAGAGGGCGCAGCTCTAATAGAAGCTGATAACCTGTAAAGGACCGGCAACATCTCAGGCTTGATCACCTCTGCAATGGAACCTCGATCTAGGAACAGAGGAGACCAATGGCGCTTTTCCACTGCGTGGTACGACTCTGCTCGGCTCGGTTTGCGTTTCCATTGCAGTTTAGTACCGCTTTAGAGTGGGCGGGATTATTCACGTGTTATAGTTGCGCCGCTTCTACTTTTCTTTTTCTAAAAAACGTTTTCATTCCGCGTCGCCCCATCAAGCTCTCTCTGGATCCGCTCCTCTGCTATCAACCAGAGGAACGTCTGTACTTCCTCAACAGACCACGAAACAGCCATTTTTTAGTAGTTTAATTTTTTTTTTCTCGTTCGTTCAAAACAGTCGCGTTCGATCCTTCCGGCTGATTTAAATCTAGCGGTTCTGTTGATGAGTATGATGTTATGTATGATGTTATGAGTAGAGATTGCCTCAGAGAGATATGATGGGGCTTGATTATGCAAAATAATTCTAAATTTGACTGGTAACCAGTTTAGTGAAATAAGAATGGGCGAGATGTGATCAAACCTCCGTCTGCCTGTCAGCATCCTTGCAGCAGCATTTGGGACTGTCTGTAAACGCATTATAGAGGACTGACTTATACCATAGTATAGTGAATTACAGTAATCTAAACGAGATAGAACAAACAAGTGAATAATATGTTCAAACTGTTTTACAGAGAGTAAAGATTTGATTTTTGATAAACGCCGTAAGTAGAAGAAACTTGATTTGACCACTGCACTAATTTGTTTCTCAAAACCCAGGTTGCTATAAAAAAACACCAAGATATTTAGCAAAGGGTGTAAAGTAGCAAGAGAGATGACAAAAATGAAGGGCACAGTCTTTCAAAATGTCAAACAAAATGATTTCGGTTTTGTTCTCGTTTAACACTAAAAGATTCTGCTTTAACCATATTTGTAATTAATTTAGACAATCCAACAGAGGTCCTAATAATTATTTACTTTTATGCTACAAGGGAAAATACAGCTGAGTATCATCCACGTATAGGTGAAAGGACACTCCATATTTCTCAAAGATAGCACCCATTGGTAGCATAAATATAGAAAATAAAACTGAGGCAAGAATTGAGCCCTGTGGCACCCCACAAGCAAGTGGGCGTGAGGACGAACTATGTTGGTCAATGGAAACACTAAAACTTGTTTGTTAAAAAAGATTAAAACCATTTCAACACCTTGCCCTGTAACCCAGCACAGCTCTCCAACCTGGAAATCAAGATGTTGTGGTCAACCATATCAAATATCTGTTTCTAGTAAAATATCTTTTACAACTTTTAAAAGTGCAGTTTCCGTGCTGTGTTGAGACTTAAAACCCGATTGGAATTTTTTCAAAAATATTATTTGAAATCAAATGGGACTGCAGCTGGGTCAACACAATTTTCTTAAGAATCTTAGAAAGAAATGATAAGTTTGATGTGTCTAAAATTATTAAAATTCGAAGAATCAAGATTGGGCATCTTTAATAATGGAGTTACTGTAGTTGTTTTTAGGCAGTCTGGAACAACCCCAGTAATTAGACTAGTATTAAAAATAGTTTAATCATGACAACTCTCTGAAGATTTTAGCATGGTGATGGATATGACAATGTTAATGTATTTGGTCTTGGCAGAATAGGCGAGATGTGATCAAACCTCCGTCTGCCTGTCAGCATCCTTGCAGCAGCATTTGGGACTGTCTGTAAACGCATTATAGAGGACTGACTTATACCATAGTATAGTGAATTACAGTAATCTAAACGAGATAGAACAAACAAGTGAATAATATGTTCAAACTGTTTTACAGAGAGTAAAGATTTGATTTTTGATAAACGCCGTAAGTAGAAGAAACTTGATTTGACCACTGCACTAATTTGTTTCTCAAAACCCAGGTTGCTATAAAAAAACACCAAGATATTTAGCAAAGGGTGTAAAGTAGCAAGAGAGATGACAAAAATGAAGGGCACAGTCTTTCAAAATGTCAAACAAAATGATTTCGGTTTTGTTCTCGTTTAACACTAAAAGATTCTGCTTTAACCATATTTGTAATTAATTTAGACAATCCAACAGAGGTCCTAATAATTATTTACTTTTATGCTACAAGGGAAAATACAGCTGAGTATCATCCACGTATAGGTGAAAGGACACTCCATATTTCTCAAAGATAGCACCCATTGGTAGCATAAATATAGAAAATAAAACTGGGGCAAGAATTGAGCCCTGTGGCACCCCACAAGCAAGTGGGCGTGAGGACGAACTATGTTGGTCAATGGAAACACTAAAACTTGTTTGTTAAAAAAGATTAAAACCATTTCAACACCTTGCCCTGTAACCCAGCACAGCTCTCCAACCTGGAAATCAAGATGTTGTGGTCAACCATATCAAATATCTGTTTCTAGTAAAATATCTTTTACAACTTTTAAAAGTGCAGTTTCCGTGCTGTGTTGAGACTTAAAACCCGATTGGAATTTTTTCAAAAATATTATTTGAAATCAAATGGGACTGCAGCTGGGTCAACACAATTTTCTTAAGAATCTTAGAAAGAAATGATAAGTTTGATGTGTCTAAAATTATTAAAATTCGAAGAATCAAGATTGGGCATCTTTAATAATGGAGTTACTGTAGTTGTTTTTAGGCAGTCTGGAACAACCCCAGTAATTAGACTAGTATTAAAAATAGTTTAATCATGACAACTCTCTGAAGATTTTAGCATGGTGATGGATATGACAATGTTAATGTATTTGGTCTTGGCGGAATAGATCTGCTACGCTGCTGCTGCTGCTGAATTGCTGCTGCTGTTGGTTATTGCCGTAGTTGTAGATTATTGCTGCTTAGAGGTCAACCGACAGGGGTTTTTCACTGGCCGATGCCGATATTTAGAAATCAGGGCAGCCGATGGCCGATATATGATGCCGATTTTTTTGTTTTTTTTTGACCGATTTTCTTTTTTTTCCCCATTCATCTCATAAAAGTGAGTTTGTGCAAATGATTATTGC